TTGTTGATTTCTCCCTGCATTTGGCTACTTTGGCACTACTGTGTCCTGATTCTCATATTTCCGTCTAACTTCCTCTCATTCTTCTTCACATTCCCCCCCCCCCCATAACCCTTTGAAGATTCCCCAGGTCTCCTTGCTTATTTTATCGTCCCACTTTACGTATTATTCCTGGTCAGTTTTATTCATGCTGTATGATTTCATTACCATCTCCTTGTTGATGAGTCCCAAACTTACACCTGCCCCACAGCTCTAGATCCAGGTATATGTTTGGACAGCTGGTGTGAATGTTGTCACACATTGCTTTGCTCTGCAAATCTGCTCTTACTGTTTCTTGCCTTGGTTAATGAGCCACTCACTAATCCAAACCAGAAGCGGGGGAGTCATTCTGAAGTTACCCCTCCCTCACTGTTCACATCCAGTTGTTCACTAAGTTCTTTCTACTTCCAGACCTTTCATTTCACACATGCTTTCCATGCCCGTTGTCTTAGTTGAGGCTTCCATGGGCGCTCCCTCATAGACCATTAAATTCGTTCCCTGGCTGGTTTGACTCAGCCCTTCCCAAGCCATTCTTCACACAGCTTTGGAATGTTTGCAGAATGCTACTACTCATCACCTTTAGCAATGCTTCCACCCTCTAGTCCAGAGCCCTAAGGTGGCCAGGAGTTACAGCAGAGGCCTTTTGTGACCTATGGTTATCTAGGCTGCATAGATAATGGTATCTCTCAACCGTATTGCTTAATAGATTTAAAAACAAAAACAAAACAAAACTAAGTCATTTATAGCAGGCCCTTTTCATTATCTTTTTCTGAATAAATGCAACTATCATACAGTAAAAGTTTCTTTTTCTGGTGTTTTTTTGTTTTTGTTTTTGTCATTACAGAGGGATCTTCATCATATTAGGTACCACTGAGCTAGAAGATGACATAAAAATAACTTGGCGCGACCTGGCCTCCCCCAAGCTGACCCCATGGTGCTCTCTGTGCTTGGTCATGCTCTATAGGCCACACTGTTAACTCTGTTCCCAATACTTCAATCCCACCCCCCTCCAGACACCTCTAAAATAACTACTTAAAACCTTTCCCGATCATCATACAATCCAAACTTCTTTCCAAGGCCTTATGTGATTTTTTCCCCAATTACCTCTCCCTCTACTGTCCCCCTTTTCACCAGGGTCTTCCTGTGGCTGCCTTTTCATTAAGAATGAAAATCATATGTGCCTCATCAGAGACCACCCTTCGCATTTTCTTATTATATTGCCTTATTTTATCTTCTGCATAGCACATGTCACTCCCTGAAATGTCTGTTGTTATGGCTCCCTCCACCAGAATATCATCAGTTCCTTGAGGTCAGGGACTCTGCCTTCTTGCTCATCACCATGACTCTTGGCCTAGAACATGGCCCTCAGTAAATGTTTGTTGACTGACAGGATTACCTACCTTCTCTGAGCTCCACTCTCCCTATAATTCTCTTCTGTAGCATTTGTACATTGCATCGCAGTCTTTGTTGCTGTTAGAATTTGCAACCGCTGGTGCTGTCGCAGTCTTTGTTGCTGCTAGAATTTGCAACCGCTGGTGCTGGACCAAGCAGACATTGTAAATGAGCGAGGCAACCCAGGAGTGGACATCCTAAAGATGTCCACTTGACGTTGATAGGAGCTTGTTCTACTCTCCCTAGCCAGTCAGTTGTCGCCAATCTGAAGTGATAGTAATGATTAGCATTATTGTGTGTGTGTGTGTGGGGGGGCACCCTGCTGAGTGCTTTGCTTATTTAATTTCATTTAATCCTCACATCAACACTGTGAGGAAGGTATTATTAATACATTATTAATACCACCAGTTTATAAACAGGAAACAGATACATAGAGACATTAACATGAAACTAGCAAATGGCAGAATTAACTCTCAAGCCCAAGCTTTTAACACAGTACTTACTGCTTCCTGGTGTTCCCAGGTCTTTCTGACTTTTCAAGAGAAGTCAGAAATCTCGAACTTTTATGCTATTTCCCAGTTTTAAAATGTTGGTAGTTCATTTTAGAAACTAAACACAAAAAGCAGTACAGACCAAACAAAACACAGGTATAAGGGGCTGATTTGGTTTACATGGCCTTGCTCTGACCAGACCTGGAGCTGCTTTTGGTCCTACCCTTAAGATCCGGCCACTCAGATGCTGCTGGATGAACAACTGCAGCAATCATTTATTTCCTCCTCTGCCTCGCTTTCTTGCTGTACAATAAAATAATGTCGTATGTTTCTGTAGCATGTTGCAGTTATAAAGTGATTTCATATGTGTTGTTTGACTTTTTAAAAAGCTTTAACTGATACTGCCACCACCAAACTGTTTGTTTCACAGTGCATCACAGGGAGTAAAACACGGGAAGTAAACCACAAAATGATACGGAAGGCTCACTTCTCAGCAGCTTTCCAGTATTAATTAATATTGCTGTTGCCCCACTGATCTGCTTATGCCCAGCTCCACGTGTGAGAAAGCATGCTTTTAAACATTCAGTATTACTTACTGTAAATTAGTGAGACAATGAATACACTATCCATATATTGTACAAAATTTATGGAAAACACAGGACTGTGGATACTGGGCTTTTGCTTATTAGATCTTGACTCTTCTGCATAGACTTGATTTCCAGCTTGGTCTGACCCCCATTTTTACACGTTGTTTTTTATTTTCTTGTTTCTAAATCTATATAAATAATCTATGTAAATAATTTATAAGTAACGGGCTTTTATACCATTTAAAATTCAATTTTAAAATAATTTTTGTAAAAGAGTATAATGATTACAAACATAAAAACTGTGTGCTCAGTTCTCCATTTTCCCCCAAAAGTCCTTGTCCTCCTTTTTTTTTATTTTATTTTTTAACAATTTTGTTTCCTTTCCATCTGCTGAAAATGGGAGTGGGTAATTCACTAAGCCATTTCATATGGGTGAAGAAAAATATGAAACAGTTGATTACCCTGGTGCTCACAGAAGACTGTATCTTTCAAAGACGTGGCTTTAGGAACTTCATGAATTACATTTATTTCTATATCTGGAAGCATACTGTCAGGGCTCTCGGTGTGTGAGAACCAGTCCTTAAAGTAGCTATAGCCTCTAAGGTGGTGATGGTGGGGGTTATGACGATAGGGGACCAGGAGACCATGTTAGAGGGACTGGAATGGGTGACTGCAGGTGCAATTTGAAAAAATCAGTTCAACATGAGTATTAGTTTATAATCTAGATTCACTGGACCTTAGTAAACCCACATTTTGGCTTGAAGATACACCCCCAATAGTGATGGAGTCAGTTATGGTTAGAGGCTGTGCTCCAGGACAGAGGGTGGGTTTCTCATGGAGCAGGTGGAACACTTAATTGGAAGGCACAAGACAAGACGTGGGTTCATGTTTTGGTTTTGTCACCAATTAGAGATGTGACTTAGGTTAACCCACTTAGCACTTTCTGGGTCTCAACTTCATCTATCAAATGAGAAAATCAAACTGGATGTCTTTAAGGTTTTAGGTATTTTAAATTTGCCTCTGTTAAAGCTCTGTGGGCGGTTGAGCCTGACTAGTTATCAAGATAAGAGGATATAAGTCCAAGTGAATAGTTACAGATTTTTTGGGCAGCCTTCATCAGGGTGTCATTTGTGCTTCCTAACAAATTAAATGGCAGAGGAGAGAGAGCTTTTGATGAAATAAACACTAGTCTCCTGCCTCACCTTTTTCCTTCCCATCGCCAGCCCAGCAGTCCACAGATAACCTTTTAAAACTGTTGTACTATTTCTGTTTTTAGCTTCTTCTAGAGTTACTTCCATAAGGTTTAATAATATGTGTAAACTTCTGTTCCTTATTTATCAACTGTAGAGAATATCTTTGGATTTTTTAATATGAAAAGTAAAAATTTAACTGATATTTTCTACCCTCTCTTCTCTCCATCTCCCATTATTTGATATTTTATTATTTTCTAGTCTTAATTTTCTTTATAATTTTGAATGATAAACTTTTTTTTTTTGATCCAGCAACTTTTAATAGGGTTTCAATTTGCCATTTTATAAAATGGGTTTATAAGGGTTCCTGCACTTGCATCTTTCTATATTCTACCTTCCGGGAGCTATACTTTACATTTATTTATTTATTTATTTTATTCTATTTTATTTTATTTTTAGCTGTACTTTACTTTTACATTGTCAGGGTTAAGATTTTCATTCTGTCCTCTACCCACCACCAAGTATTATCTTTATGTTTAGAGTGCTATTTTTACTGCATTACCTTTCTATGCCTGCTATAATAGCAAGTCCAGAATTATAACTGGTTATGTAAAGTTTTATGTCCTTAATGCCAAGCAAATAACCGAGTGTGTGCTAAAGACTTAGCTTAGTAAACCATTCATTTACTCGTTTATACAACAGATATTTATTCAATATCAGAATTGTTATCACAGTGCTGTTTATAATAGTGAAAAATTAAAAATAACCTAACTGAATGTCTTGTGTGAATTAGTCATTACTGTACATTTATGGGGAATGCTGTGTAAACATTAAAAAGTGATATAAAAATGTTAACATGAAAATTTTAATTATTACATTTTAAAATGTTTATAAAATAGTATGTTCATTGTAGCCTCATTTTTGTTTCAAAACAAAACAAAACCAACCATGTAAGAAACTCGGTTTGGGATGGTGGTAGAAGCATACTGCGTACACCAAATTGTTAACTCGGTAATTGTGACCATTTTGGGTGGTGCTTTCTGTTTCTTGTTTTGTTTTTACTTACCTGTATTTTCTTGGTCACCCTAAAGAACATGTCGCTTCTGTAATAAATTTTTTCAACTAAAGATAAAAATAGAAAGTTGCCGGTCATAGTTTTTTTTTCTTGGAATACCAATGCTAAAATAATCTAGGAGGACCTGATAAGAATTCAGTAAATGTTTGCGGAATGACAAAAAATGATTGAATCGCCGAGATTCCTACATCTGTAGTATTGACGCTTATGCCTTCTCAATTTTATCCAGAGACAAGTTCAGTTATCTCAAAAGAAAAACCATACATTGAACTGTCTGCCAGAATCTAAGAAACAGCTTTAGCTGAATGTTGGTTGTGTAATGACAGATCCAGCAGGACTGAGGCCCACCAGACACGCAGCCAGGCAACAATGCTACATTTCACAGTAAGCAGATCTGAATAAAAGTGTCCTTTGTGCTTGTCTGAGACTGAGGGGCGGGACTCGGGGCAATTTATGTTATTTCTCCTTAATGGAAATGGAAGCAGCCTCTAATCCTGCTATCACATGACAACGACTTACTTGATTTTTGGTAATTTGGGGGAGCAGCTGTGGACAAATGATTTTTCTGCAAAAAGAGCCAGCTGCATTCTGACCCATTTGCAAATAAATGCCTGGGCACACTTCACTTCCTGTCCATCATGCTTCTAATCCTGGATGGCTTCAGCAACTCACCTGCTTTTTACTGATGTTTGTAACTGTTCACAAGCACCTAAATACATGAGAATGCATTTTCTAATCCTTTTTATCATTGTCATCAACATTAATTAGGTACCTTCTCCACTTAGGGCCCTGGGCCAGACACCAGGCTGTAAGCTGTAAGGTGTTGTACAATGTGGATAGACTCCTTTCCTCTTTGACAGGTGGGTCAGCATTAGCTTTATTTTTAGCGGATGAAATTGCAGCGTAAAGAAAGAATCTGGTGTGGAGGCAGCTGAGAGCTCTGTTGTTTTGGTCCCCAGACTTCTGAGTCGGCTCGCTGTCTGGGTGTTCGCTGATGCCCCTTAGCTGTGCTGTGTGCTTTCACAAGCTGTTGCCCCTGCCTGCAGTGCCGCCTTTTATTCTCGCACCTTGCATACTCCCGGAGGAAGGCTCTTCTCCTTCATCACAGCTGCTTGATGTCCTTGTGGTCTTTTCTTCTCAGTGCTCCCTTAGCCCTTGGTGATCATCACGAGAATATGATTTTTTTTTCTTTTTTAAATGGCAAAAGCCCTCTTACTTAACTGTATTGATTTGCACTTATTTTTTCAAGCTCTTATAACCCAGGGAATTAAGAAACACAATCAGGGAACTGGTCAGGTAGGGTCTTCATAATGAGTAAAAGGAAGCTTTTCTTTTGATTGGGAACAGCTAGGGCAGGGGAGAGGCAGTGACAGTATTTCTATCTTTGCAGTGTTGGATTTTCACGGGACAGATTGGTCTGAATTAGTGTATGAGCCTACTCTATTAGAAATTTCTTAAGCAATGATATATAATGGACAGTGATTAGAAACAAGTCATTTCAAAACAAAACAATGCAAGGTAGAACCACACTGTTCAGTGAGAGCTACAGCCCCATGTGGCTATTTAAATTAAAACTAATTAAAGATAAACAAAATGAAAATTTTAATTCCTTAGTCACAGTTGTCACATTCCATATGGTCAATAACTACATGTGGTTTATTGGCTGCTGTTTTGGATGGTGTACATTTAGAACATTTCCACCATCACAGAAATTTCTATTGGATACTGCTGAGATAGAACCGATAGAAGAGTTGATGTATTTTAAAGCATTTAGTGAAGTAGATGCACCTAACTATTCTTTTCTGTGCAAGGCTATTTGTTCCAGTTGAAGAATTTTAAGCAACCTTAAATTCCATGCTTTCTTTATATTTTTCTTTGGTTGTGGCACCCTCTAGTGTTTTAGCTTTGACATAGCTATATCATCATGAAATAATCTGTGATTTGAGACCAAGAACATGGAAGTATTTTGGAAAATTTCGTGGGTTTATACACTTTTCTAGGGAGGAGACCTGTAGCTTTCACACATCTTCAAAAGGGCCCATAATTCGAAAAAGGTGAAGGACCTACTCTCTGATACAGATCCTTGTATGGTCAAAACCTGTAGCTTTCACACATCTTCAAAAGGGCCCATAATTCGAAAAAGGTGAAGAACCTACTCTCTGATACAGATCCTTGTATGGTCAAAACTCCTAGTTTGTGACCTATAAGAAGCCTTTTTTCTCCCAATACAAAAATAAATCATGGAACTCTCCCCTTGGCATTTCTATGCTTTATGTATCCTTTTATGTGGAATAACAACAACAGTTTACACTTAATCTAACGCTCATTATATACCAGGTCCTATTTTAAAGCCCTTGTACATATATTAACTCATTTGATTCTCACAATAGTTATATTTAGAAGGTTCTATTATTCTCCCCATTTGAAAGATGATAAAACTAAGGCATAGAAATCAAGTGAAATTTGTCTAAGGTGCTAGTGTCAGGGCAAGGATCTGAACCCCAAACTCTGGCTCCATCGTCTGTACTCTTAACCACCCTGCTGTAACAGTGAGGACAAGCCCTTAAACAGGCATGAGGTGGGATGGAGAGATTTTTCATGCTCTTGTACACTTTGTGTCCAGTTACATAATAAGAAAAAAATAATAACTAAATCGCTGCAAGCTATCCTGGAAATTAGAGTTAGCACCCACTATTGATTATCAGTAGATATGCATAGATCTACATAGTCTGCCAAGGACTTAAAGTGATAGATGAAGGTCAAAGCTGCTATGCCTACCACTTTTTCTTTGGTTAATCCAAACACCTAACCTAGTCTATTCATTGAATAAAATGACAAATCTTTTTGTGATTTTTTGTTATTGTTATTTCCATAAAAAGACATTTATTGTATTACTGTGATGTCGATTTTAAGGTTTGCTAGTATGTTAAACTTATTAAGTACTTAAAGAATAGGTAAGATAGACTCAAGCAGATAAAAGTTTGTGTTTCTATCTCCTATTTCCCTTCTGTCTGTACCCATTTCTCCCTTCAGGAGGCATTTTATACTCGTTAACTTTGCCTTGTTTTAATGACTCATCAAACTCCGGATTTTGAATTCAACTTCCATCAGTGTATGGATACAGAAACCCTAGTGGCGATCTTATTAAAAATTTCTATAGAATCGCTTTATTGATAGTATAAAATGTTAATACTTTTTATTGACTTATACAAGTCAGCATAAAATTTTGCTGCTTACCAGCACTCTATGAGGAATTTCTGACAAGGGTGCATCTTTTTTCTTCCCTTTGTATCAGTCAGGGCCTAGTAAACCATAGAAGGTATTTCAGAAAATTTAATTCTGGAAATTGGTTACACAGGTGTTAAAGACTGAAAAAGCAAAAAGTAGACACTGAGGCAGTCCAGATATTAATAACTACAGGAAGCAGCTGCCACCCTAGCGCTAGGGGAACAGAAGAACCTAGGAGCTCAGGGGGGCCCCCACACAGCTGGGAATCTGACTTCTCAGTGGGATGCCATGCAGCTGGTGCGCAACTACCAGGGGAGAAAGGGCACAGCTGGAGTTGGGAGAGGAAGCTGTCCTCTGTTGCTGGAGCAACACTGATAGGAATGAAAACAGCAAGGAAATCCCTTCTCCCCTCCTCTTCCCATCTCACACCACTGCCTCCCCTTGGTAAAACCTAACAGGAAGCTGGCAGGCGAGTTTGGTAAACAAGGTTTGCTGACCAAGTGCAGAGCTGGGTGTAGAGCTGTTCAGATCAAGTTAGAAGTGCGAGAGATAAGAGATAAATAGGCAGCACGACCTTATTGGGGAATTACAGCAACTGGAATTGCCTGGGTTTAGCTTTAGTAATTAAATGTGCAGCCAATTACCCCCAAGTATTTATGAAGGAGCAAATTATGACAGCTGCTATTCATAGACTTTAATGGACCCAAGCCCTGCGTTCTGTGAGCTGACAGTATTGTTTTCACAAAACCATCCACTCATCCTTGAGTCATTATGAAGTTGTGTGGTAAAGCTTGTTTTTCTCGCATATTATGTAAAAGCATCATTATTAACTGGATTCTTGGGCTGTTATTAATATTAATGAATATTTACAAGTTTTGTCAACATAATTGGAATGAAAAATATTATGTGATTACAGCTATACAAAATTTTGTTACTTTCAGATGCTCTAAATTAGTAAGTTAGTCTTAACTCAAGGCAAGACTATTTCTGAACTTGAACTGTGCTATTCTTTTGGTTCTTAGCATAAGAAAGGGACTTGATTTTTCTAGTGACAATTTGCTCTAGCATGTCATTAAGTTTCAAAAGGATCAATTGGGAAGGCTATATTATAGTTATTGGTTTTTAAAGTTCATTTTGTTAAAAGTCAAAGTGATGCATTTATATGATAAAAGATCAAATAGAAGGATTTATGATAAAAATCAGTGGCTTTTGCTATACTCTTCCCCTAATCCCAGTCCCACTTTTTAGAGACAGTTACTTTCACTGGTTTTGTTTTCTAGTTTAACTATTTTGTTTATAGTATTATCAAACAGTAACTCCTATAACTCTAATAATGTGTTTGTACCACTTTTTATTGATTTATCAAACTTAGCCATTTTTTACTTTATTATATATGTAATGATTACCTTCCAGTATTCCCTTCCTTTCCCCTGTTTTTTTTTAAGCTTTTTTTTTTTTTTTAAGATTTTATTGGGGGAGTTTTAGGAGGAGAACAGAGTTGGGGAATCAGGTAAGGGGAACAGACAAGTTGCTGTCCTTTTGTTCTTCAGTCTAGTTGTGGAGGACGTCACTTCACTGGCCCATGTTGATCTTGTGATCATTGCCCTCTTCCCGGGTGAGGCAGTCGCTCGCCAGCCATTGAATAGCAGCTCACAGCAGCCCAGCTCCAGGTCGAGCTGTTGTTCACCATCTTAGCTGTAGAGGGCGCAGCGTCACTGGCCCTCATGTGGGATCCGAACCAGGGCCCTGCTGCTCAGAGCTGGCGTCCTAAGCCCTCTGCTCTGCTTTTGATAGTTACATTGTAATACCAAGTTCTTTCTTCCATCTGCTCCTGATAGTATCTTCAGACTCCATCTTTGTAAAGATAGGGTATTGGTAAATTGGTGCTCCCAGCCATTCATCCACCTCTCCGCCCCTCTCCTATCTCCTCACTTCTCTCAGCCTTATCTTCGCTTTTACATTGTCATGATTTATAACCTTTACATTCTGATTTGTATTATATTTAATTTTGTGTATTTTTACTTGTAGCTGGAGTCTGAAAATGGAAAACAGTAAACTGCATGCACGACTATGGCTTCTTTTTTGTGTGTGTGTGTGGACTTTTCTCTGCAAGTCCAATATCATCTTTGGGCTATTTGAAGGACAATATTCCTAGA